TAGCCTAATAAGACAAAATGTCACATCTAAACCATAACCATTTTATTTTTTTTTTTACAAAAGTTAAAAAAGTCAAAAAAATTTATTCAAATGAGGCTTTTTAACCTCAGACTAAAATAGTCAAAAAGTCAAAAAACTAACCCACATCTCAAACAAAGGCTTAGAAATACTTTTTGGCATTTGTCTATTCTGTTATGTTCTTTGTTTGGTTTGTTTTGGAAAAGGAAAATGTTTGAGGGCTTGAAAGCCGTTGACTCGAATTTGCTCGAAATCGAAAACGACGTCGTTTTGGGTTTCGAGCAAATTCTTTTTTGTCCTTCTTCTTCATCCTTTTCTTGACCCAGGCCTCATTCCTCTCGCCTCTCTGTATCTGGACTCATCTCTCTCATGTCGACTACGCATCCTCTCTATCTCTTCAGTCTCGCCTCTCTCATCTGTCTGTTGAAGCAGTACGAAGGACGACTGAGGTAAACCCCAAATTGAGCCATGCTAGGGTTTATGTTTGGCATCAATTTTTTGTAGAGATTAGTCAATTTTTTTTTATAGAAATTAGCCATGTTAGGGATTAGTAGAAATTAGGGTTTATAATAATGTTTGGACGACTGAAGACGACTAATTTTTTGTAGAAATTAGTCGAGGATCTTAGGTGTTTTGCATTTCAATTTGTTATCTTCTATATACATTTGATTGGTTTTGCTTGAAAGCAACATCTGTGATGACCTATGTTCGAAATATATTGATTGGTTATCCTCTGTATAAATTTGAGATTATCATTGCTTGAAATAGCATTGAATCTGTGTCCATTTGATTGGTTATCCTCTGTGTCCATTTGATTGAATCTGTTAGCATTGAATCTGTTTGAATCTGTTAGCATTGAAATAGCATTGAATCTGTGTCCATTTGATTGAATTTGAGATTAGCACTTAATATGTTAGAAAATCCAAGATGGTATGTTTTGAGATTAGCACTTAATATGTTATACCAAAGACACTTGGTATGTTTTGAAAGTTACTGATGAGGGAACAGATTGACATAGTTTATTCATATGTGTATTTCAGATGTGTATTTCAATCTGATGGCTTGACATAGTTTTCAATCTGCAATACACTTGGTATGTGTATTTCAAGGATCACCAAAAATGGCTTAGTATGTTTTGAAAGTTACTAATGAGGGAACATATTGTTATCAATTTTTTTTCTTCAGATGTGTATTTCAATCTTGATTTTAGGGAACACAACTTTTGAAAGACTTTAAAGTGTATTCATCTTAACAGTTTTATGCTAGGCTCAATGACATAGTTTATTCATCTTAATAGTTTTATGCTAGGCTCAAAGACTTTGAAAGTTACTGAGACCTTTGACCAGTTTTATGCTAGGCTCAATGACATAGTTTATTCATCTTTCAGCCTAGGTGACACTATACCTGAAGCAAAATTGTATGTGAAGTCCTTAGATCTCTTTCTCAATGTTATAGACCAAAAGTATCACGACCCGCTCCCCGTACCCAAGGGTAAAGCATCGTGATGGCCAGTAACTAAGGTTACCTCTGGCCAAATCTTAAACAAATCAATAAACGTGAGCAAAAGTAATATTTAAATGAGGGTACTAAAATAATCATTGGAGCTTCTATTTTTATTACAAAATTATACTGACCAAAAAGGCTGATATTTACATAGAAAAATATCAATAAAAGTGCTGTGTGTCTATTCCGCAGCCCTGCGTCTAAAACTTTCCAAAAGCTATTTCTGAATTGTATTGTTTCTTGAAAATTGGTAAACAACTATAAGCACATGACAGAGTGAGAAATATTATACCAAGAGTATAAGGGACATGAAATAACCATGGATAGTTAGTTAGGCCCAAACATTTACATAATTCAGTTTGGTAAATAGATCATTGGTAAACAAATCATTTAAGTAGCAGAAACTGAAATACAGAAATTATGTAAGTAAATAACCATAACCATGGTACAGAACAGAACAGAACAGAGATCACAGAAGTGACAAGCAGAATAGAGGTACGGATTCAAGATGTGGCTCGTACGGATTCTAGAGGTGGCTCCCACAACAGTGTAGCACTTAGCTCCGCACAACACTTTGCTCTGCACAGAACAGAGGTCAATGGAACCATGACAAACAGAGGACCACAAAGTGGTCAAATAGAGGCCAATGGTTATTTAAGTCTCCCAAGGCGTGGGACTCCCGTGGTGGTACTTACAAAACATAATTGTATATAAGGTCATAGTCAAATATTCTTTAAAAGTAAAACAAATATATCCATGGGTTTCCTTTTAACAAATAGGGTTCAGAAATTAAACCACACACTGGTCCTGACATGTCACCTGAAAGTGGTAAATAACTATAAGCACATGGCAGAGTGAGAAATATTATATTAAGAGCATAAGGGCATAAAATTCACCATGGATAATTACGGGCTAAACAGAGAATATATATCATACATAAATCATTTGACATATACTACATAAATTACGTAAATAACTATAACACGGTACAGAACAGAACATGGGTCACTGGAGTGACAATAAGAACAGGGGTCAATAGATCCACGACAAACAGGGGACCACAAAGTGGTCAAGCAGGGGCCGATGGTTATTTAAGTCCCCCATGGCGTGGGACTCCCGTGGTGGTACTTACAAAACATAATTGTTTATAAGGTTATAGTCAAATATTCTTTAAAATATAAACAAACATATCCATGGGTTTCATCTTAAACAAATAGGGTTCAGAAATTAAACCACGTAACATAAATATTTATATAATTTATAATAACTTATAAAACATAATATGTATAAATTAGATATGGTAAATCAAAACATACGTAAAATACATTTTCGTAACTCAAGGTATAATATAACTCACATTATCTTTAATACCTTAATTTTTCTTTCTACTACCAAAAACCTTCTCAACTTCCATTATTTTTTCTTCCTTTCTTTTCTTTCTTTCTTTTTTCTTTTCTTCACCCAGGCGAAACGCCTCCCTATTTATAGGGAGGTGAGGCCATCCGCGGGCCAACACGTGGCAAGGCGTCCCTTTCGCTAAGATTTAATTCATAATTATATATATTCATTCTTATCCTTAATAGATATTTAAGATAATTACCCTTTGACACAATATTTTAATATAATTATATAAATAAATTAATTCCTAATTAAATTACACCTTATCATATACCAATGGAAAATTAATTATTTATTTTAGTACCACACCTATTATTATTATTATTATTTATAGTATCTATATTATTATTATTTATATTTTGACCCCTAAACTTTTAATAATTATATTATTTTATAAAATTACGCATAATAATATATAATAAATTATATATTTTATAACAGAATGAGCATTCAGGCAGATTCACAGAATGGATTTGTTTGAATTCACCTATGTTCAAAATCTGGAGCATAACAGAATGAGCATTCAGGCAGATTCACAGAATGGATTTGTTTGAATTCACCTATGTTCAAAATCTGGAGCATAACAGAATGAGCATTCAGGCAGATTCACAGAATGGATTTGTTTGAATTCACCTATGTTCAAAATCTGGAGCATAACAGAATGAGCATTCAGGCAGATTCACAGAATGGATTTGTTTGAATTCACCTATGTTCAAAATCTGGAGCATAACAGAATGAGCATTCAGGCAGATTCACAGAATGGATTTGTTTGAATTCACCTATGTTCAAAATCTGGAGCATAACAGAATGAGCATTCAGGCAGATTCACAGAATGGATTTGTTTGAATTCACCTATGTTCAAAATCTGGAGCATAACAGAATGAGCATTCAGGCAGATTCACAGAATGGATTTGTTTGAATTCACCTATGTTCAAAATCTGGAGCATAACAGAATGAGCATTCAGGCAGATTCACAGAATGGATTTGTTTGAATTCACCTATGTTCAAAATCTGGAGCATAACAGAATGAGCATTCAGGCAGATTCACAGAATGGATTTGTTTGAATTCACCTATGTTCAAAATCTGGAGCATAACAGAATGAGCATTCAGGCAGATTCACAGAATGGATTTGTTTGAATTCACCTATGTTCAAAATCTGGAGCATAACAGAATGAGCATTCAGGCAGATTCACAGAATGGATTTGTTTGAATTCACCTATGTTCAAAATCTGGAGCATAACAGAATGAGCATTCAGGCAGATTCACAGAATGGATTTGTTTGAATTCACCTATGTTCAAAATCTGGAGCATAACAGAATGAGCATTCAGGCAGATTCACAGAATGGATTTGTTTGAATTCACCTATGTTAAAAATCTGGAGCATAACAGATTGAGCATTCAGGCAGATTCACAGAATGGATTTGTTTGAATTCAGGCAGATTCACAGACAGACTCAAAATTCAGGCAGATTCATAGATTCACAGACAGATTCAACATTCAAGCAATCTGGAGCATATAGCTTCAGCATTCAACATACAGATTCAGCATTCAACCTGGAACATTACCATAAAATATAACCTGGAATATTAAAAACCTGGAATATAACCTGGAGCATTCAACATACAGATTCAGCATTCAACCTGGAGCATTCAACCTACAGACATACATTAAAAACTTGGAATATTACCATAAAATATAACCTGGAGCATAACAGATATATACATTTCAGCATTCAAAATCTGGCTCATTCAGCCATATTCATAGACCTAATCTGAATCATAACCTGGAGCATTGAAGCAGATTCATAGACATACAAATTGAGCATTTAAATCTGGCCCATTCAACATCCATTTGCCATCATTGAACATAAAATATTACCATTAAAGTGAAAGGTTTCATCTCCAAATAGATAATTTACAACAGGATTTTTTTAGTTCTCATTGAGCATTTTTTTACAACAGGATTTTTTTAGTTCTCATTGAGCATTTACAACAGGCTTATGTGCATCAGCAATTAGATTCACCATTCTGCACCAACAATTAGATTCACCCATCTTCAGGTAATGCACCACCAATCAGATTCAGCATTCTGCATCTCCTTCATCACAGAGCAAAGACAACAGCTCCTCTTCCTGAAAAAATTGACATCTTTATTTAAATACTTTAACATCTCCATTACATCCCAACCTTCACCAATCAAAACATCTCATATCTGGAATTGGCCCCCTATATAGAACTTGGCCAAGTCAATGCATATCGCTCCCAATTAAAAGCAGTGATAATATTACCATTAAAGCGATTGCCAAACTTTGACTATAAGATGTGCCTCCAATATTGTCCACCGTTTGCATTTGACTAAACTGTGCCTATTCAATAAACAAGTACACTTTACAAATATTGTCCATTCAACATATATATCAATTAAAACAAGAACAAATATTTTAGTTTAAACATTGACCACATACCGGTACATACATACTTTGTTATGTGCCATCCATGCAAGGAAAATAGTAAGGTGTAGTTTGCGTCGCCTTATGATCATAGTAACACAATTTCATTATACATAAAATACAAAACTAAAAAATAACCAACAACATAAAAATTCAAATACATACCGAGTCATGATAAGTATTGTATTGCATATCATCGGTACCAGGAAAATTTAACTTCCGAGACTGACATTGACGAACCGTGTGTCCCTATAGTAAGACACAGACACATAGGTGAATAATTTATCTTAAATACATTCAACAATTTCCATGCCACACACAATAAAAAAACTTACCTGTGCTTTTGGAGGCTTTTTACTCTTTCTCTTCAACCGATTCACTATTGCATCCACTTTGCTAACCTTCCGTTTGGTACATGGACGTCCTCTTCGGCGAGCAACCATTGGACTAAGCATGTTGCGAGACATGCTTGCTTTTGTACTATTACGAGCAGACAGACTTCTCAACGAAGTATAAGAATGTGGTACATTACTAGTAGAAGGTGGCACGTCACTAGTAGAAGGTCGTGTATGACTCGCACTACCCGATTGATCTTTTCTTACTCTATCCTTGATTTCTATCAACCCAAGATCAAGCACTTCGTGTTTACCATCATCGTTTCCAGCAATTTCTATGATTTCATCCAATATCTTGTGGTATTTGTCATGCAACTTTGCATTAAGAACAGCCCCGGCTTTAGTGTATGTGGTTGGAATGCATGTGCACCCTCTTTCGATATCTTTTTTCCATTTTGATACAATGTATTTATCTGGCACCTGATATATACACCTCTCAAGTAGCACAGTAATTGTATGGGCACACATAATGCCCCGAAACTCAAAACACCGACACATACAATGCAATTCACATTCAGTTGCATTAAAGTACACAACAAATTCCACAGTCTTCATTTTCTCACCCACAAGAACAGCCTCCTTCACATGATAAGTACAAATTGCTCCCTCCTCTTTGACAAGATTCGCATGACAATACAATAGTCGTTTTAATTCTACTTGCACTTCTTTAAACTTTGCATTTGTGTAGGCTGCACGAAATTGCTTCTCAAACTCATATACCGTTAAGCAATCATACAATTTGTTTTGAGATTTAAAGTCTGCTTTCATCTCTTTCTCAACTTTACTTCTCAAGGCATTATCATACTATTCAACAAATTGCTTTAAAGTTGTCTTTGAGTTCACATATCTATTAAAAAATGCATTCATGCTCTCACTTCGTTGTGTAGTCGACATGCTAGCCCAAAAAACATCCTTCACATACGCAGAAATCCACCTGTGTCGCTCACTGTATAATACCCCTAACCAGTCATTATCATTTAGGTTGAACTTTCCAATCATCGCTTTCCATTCTTCATCAAATTCATGTTTTGTAAAACAATCATAAACTGCATTTTGTAACGCAAGCTTGATGGATTCATATTGGGCATATCCTCTTAATTTCTCAGGAATTTTCTTCATGATATGCCATAAGCACCAACGATGTCGAGCTTCTAGAAAGACAACTTCAATGGCATTTTGCATTGCTCTGCACTGATCTGTTATTATAGCTTTTGGAGGAACGTCAGACATGCAACTTAACCATTCTCTGAATAGCCACAGAAATGTTTCAGTGTTCTCATTAGATAATAACCCACAACCAAGCAAAATTGACTGCCCATGGTGATTAACTCTTACAAACGGAGCAAATGACATATCATATTTGTTTGTCAGATAAGTTGTGTCAAATGAAACCACATCTCCAAATGCTTTATAAGTTGCCCTACTCCTTGCATCCGCCCAAAACAAGTTTTGCATGCGACCATCTTTATCGAGGTCAATTGCATAATAGAAGTTTGAATTTTGTTGTTACATCCTATGAAAATAAAGTGCAACTGATGCAACATCTCCTATCCCAAGCCTCAATCTTCTCATACTCTGAATATGATTCCTTGCATCTTGTTCATCAAATGTTAATGCCTCATACCCTCCTGCTTCAACAATTATAGAATGAAAATTCCTAGCCATCCCTATCCCTGCTTCATCGTTTATTTCTAGTCTTCTCTTCACAGGGGTAAGAATTCTCTTATTCATTGCAAAATGTCGTGAGTCACTAGGAATCAAGTCATACGTATGTTCAAAGACAACTGTGGTCAACTTAAATCTTCCATCCTTTTGTAGAGTTGCTCTAACCTTTGCTTTACACTCAATGAATGATGACAAAGATGGTTCGAGAGGGTGTACTTCTGATTGTTTTGTTCTCTTGCGTGCCCGAGTACATTCAACTCCAAAGTATTTTACTTCTCCATCTTGTCCAATATTCTGTGTTCTATAAGCTACAGCAAATTCGAGGTGCTTTGCATATTTTGCATAAAACGAATATACTTCTTGCTTTGAGCTAAAACACATGCCCTTCTTAGGTTCTTCAACTTCACCAATCTCATTTAATGACGGATTGTTTTACGCCTCTTCAACTTCCTCACTTCCATTCAATGAAGGATTGGTTGAATCAATATCCATTGAAGCGTGTAGTTCGTGTAGCTTCAAACCAAATAGAAACTAAAGTGTAAGTGCATGTATGTGCATTTCAATTTTTCAAACTGAGATGAATTTCAACACTGATATTAATTCAACAACACTGATATTAATTCAATACACTGAGATTAGAAGGTGGTGCATGGCTCGAGGAGGTTGATTGATTTTAACAAACAAAATCAGAAGCAAAAGTTCACCCCTGATTCCACGATCTTTCTTGCTTGTAAACATATGGTCAACAAACTAAAACTTTCACAAGGAAATTTATGTTGCGGTGGTACTGAATACTGATGCAAAATTCTGACTAGAGTGGGGAGTTCAGAAACAAATTGAAAATCTATGGTTGAGTTAAGTTGATCACACAGTGAGGGAAGTCCTGATTTTTCATGTGAACTCAACCAACACATAAAATATCAGGACATTCAGGATTTTAATTACACAAATTAGCATAAGGACTTTCATCAACCAATAACAAAAAAAAAATCAGGGCAATTTCTCTATGCAGACTTTCATCAAACAATTGGCATGCATCACTACCATGGAAATGTTTAACAGAGGGCTTGCTTCCAGAACAACCAAAAATTTTTTTTGTAACATACACAGATCAATAATGAGATGTCAATCAATAACATACACAGATTAATAACGAGATGGTAGATAGGTGCAGTGAACACAGAGACAGAGACAAAGTGGAGAAATTTTTTTAACATACACTAATCAATAACAAGATGTCTTACGAAATGTTGACCACAGATCAATGTTAGCAAAATAAAAATGCACAGATAAATTATTCACCACTCTGTCTCCCTATTAATATACAAACATTTTTTGTATTAGATACACATAAATGAAACAGATTCACAAAAACAAGATAGGTGCAGTGGAGACAGATCAATTTTTTGTATCAGATAGATAGGTGCAGTGGGGACAGAGTGAAGAAATTTTTTTAACATACATCTCAAATTACTTACCTACAGATACAAAATGGAGATTTCGAACACCGGTGGACGGTGGTCAGCGACGCCCGTCAGTGAACACCAGGTCGATCGTCGTCGTCATCATCTCTCTCGCCGTCGTCGTCGTGGTCGCAACCTTCTCTCGCCGTTGTGGTTGTCTCCCTCTCTCTCTCTTCTCTTCTCTCTTGTTTCTGTCTTTTGTTTCATTTTTCTTCATCACTTTGTGCAGAACACGTGAGCTCCACGTGCATCACAATTTCGCGCAAGAAACCATTCAAGCCATTCGAGCCGTTGCTCTTTCGGGCCCTGTAACGGGATTGACATATGTTTTTTCTAAAAAATTGAAAAATAAAAAAACGCTTGCTTCTAGTAATTTTATCAAAACACACACTTGCTTTTTATATCATTTTATTTTTGGAAGGATAGAAATATTTTTAAAAATTTAAAAATATTTTTTTATACATATTTTTGTTAAATTAAAATTAATTTTTAAAAATCAATTATGCGCCGCTTTCTTCTATTTGGTTTTCTTAATTTCTACGACTTTATATATAGAGAGATGTAACGGTCACTTTTAGTCCCATCCCTTGTTACCTAAACTACACTTATTCTGCGTTCCATATATAACCTTCATTAATATTGGTAGGGTGGTGCCTGATCAGTAAATTTGGGCGGTCTTTCATTTGTAATATGTCAAAATCGAGATGGATTTAGAGAAATTAATTTGTATTCATCCGCTTAGTTAACAGTTTTAAATTAATATTATGTAGTTTAATGATTGTCCGGATCGATTTGACGGTTTAAATTTTATTATTTTGGACCTTGCTTTTTAATAATTCTTTAATATTTAGAACTCAATTTTTTTTATTCTTTTATTTTTTTATAATAAAAATAAAGGCTTAAATTTCATATTTCATAAATAGCAATTATAATTGCTAAATAAATATTACGACTCAAACCCGCCCCTATAGGTTTAGTATCGTAACCGGCCAGTAATCTTAAGATTACTGAAGGCCTCTAAACATATCAACAAAATACGGGGTTAGCAGAAGCAAATATCAAAATATATAGTCTATAGAGCAGTGCAGACATCTACGGGACAGAAAATTTAAACTTATAATCATATTTATAATGACGTCACATGTACGGATCTAACAAAAAGGCTTAGCCCAATATATAGAGTGCATAAAACTTGTTCAGACTTAAACAAAATAAACAAAAGAAACAAAAGTCTTAAATTTAGATCACAAATTTCGACCACTGAAGCATTCTGAAACCTCCTCGGGAGGCGCACAGGTTGGCCAACACAAAACAGATCTAGGCAACAACTTAGGCCTAATCACGCGCTTGGTCATCTACATACATAAATAATACAGTGAACTGGAACTCAGTGAATACCAACATAGTAAAGGAGTTTATGAATGATGTCCAAAACAAATTCAAAATTTAGATTTCAGATCAGAACAGATTTAGATTCACATATGTATACAGATTTCTTAAACAGTTATACGTGGTACATCTATCAGCTCACAAATTACTTGGTCATAAAGACCCATTTTCACTTGGAATGGTCAAAAAGGCCCACTTTCACTTCAGATGGTCATAAAGACGCACGTGCAGATCATATAAGCGGTTATGCATAACCAGTTCTATGAATGGAACCCATTTGAAAACCTGGTACCAAGTAGCATATAACATATCACATGATGCTAAGGATACCACGATAGATTTCAGAAATAGGACAATCATTCATCTATACAGAAAATATCATTTCAAAAAACAGAGCTTATCATTTCATTTCATTAAGAAAATACTTATAGTCAAACATAACTTTATAGAATTGTTAATCACATATAGTCCCAATAGTAGAACAGATCACTTGGACAGAACAAACTGATCAGGCGAGCGATAACATGTGACCTACACAAACACGTGATAGATACACATTGAACACACATCTCATAGGTGCTTAACTTATCATTCTTCTTTCTTAATGTGTGTTTCTAACTCTTATCCTCCTTATTATAGCTTAATTATGGCCTAGGAATGCCTAGGATGCAAACATGTACATTGAAAACACTTGCAAAATTTTGAAAAACATGGCAGTTCGCTCGAGCGGTATGCACAATCTACAAAAGTACTGAAAGTTCTCATTTTACACTCGAGCCAACTTTTGGTCACTTGAGTGGTCTTTCGGTCACTTGAGCCAACCATCAATTTCTGAAAAAATAGCTCAAAATTTATGCTCGAGCAACGGTTTGGTCGTCGCTCGAATGATGCGACCAAATTCTGGAATATTCAAATTGCTTTGCAAGGTTCAAAACTTGATTCCAAAACATTACAACACATTCTTTTTTAGAAACCACTTGTAAATTTGCAAAAAATGATGAATTGAAGATCAATTAGCAAAATCAAAGCCCAAAATGAGTGAATTCTTTAACACCAAATTTGAAATGTAAATGTATTTAACATGCATGCAATGACTTGAGCAATGACTTGAAATCTTTGATTCAAAACATGAATAAATGAAGTGATAAGTGGTAAATCATGTTGAATTCTCAAAGCTTATAGAAAATAAACTCTTGCATATAAGAATCTTTGAAAATTAAACTCAAAACTTCATGAGTTATGCATGCTTGCATGAATCATATTCCATCCTAGTTTCTTTCCCTCAATTCTCATGCTAACACATCTAATTCTTTTGAATTCTTGCACTAAGTACTTAAATGCATAATTTAAGAGTTGGTTTTTTTACTTTAATCCTTCAATTGAGCTGTAGCTTACCCGCTCTTGAGCTACCAAGCCAATTTTCCCTCAATTTCCTAGCAATTCTCCCTTACTCCAATCTTGAGCTTCTCTCTCTCTTTCTCTCTCTTCCCCCCTCCCCATGTTTTTTATCTCAAAATGAAGTCTAAAATTGTTATTGAGTCACCATTAGCCTTATATAGGCTTGATTAGTGGGGTTTAATTAAGCTTGACTTAAGACTAATCAATTGATATTATTTTAATCTAATTATTTGATTCTGAATCGAATTCTAATTAAATATATGAGAAAATTCTAAAAATTCTAAATAACACATAAACTTAGTCAATTTCGTGATCGATGGCTGATAAGGTCTTCAATTCACAGATTCAAGCAGAATTACCGACATATATTCCTACAACAGACATATATAAATACAAATAACACATGACACATACAATTAACTTAGGTTTTCATCTTAATCACTTGTTAAGCACCCTTAATCAAGGATTATAGGCTAATCATAGGTCAGAATTGTTACAATAAATATATTATTTTTTTAACACATAAAGCATAAACCTTAACATAATTTTCTTAGGGGTTTTGGTAGATTGGATTGGGTTGGATAGCCTTCCATCCACCATCCGTCTAAATGTAGATGGATTGAAAAAAATGCATTACCATCCGTTTGCGCAGACCATTGAAACCGCCTATTGTGTGACGGATTGGTTCGGATGATTCAATTTTGATGGGTCAAATAGATGCTTGCCCAACCTTGATTGTTGCCAATATTTTTTTTAATATTATTTTACAGTTAATTATATCTTTTATCTTTAAAGTATGAAGTTTGTGCCATTTTAGTTTTTAATGTTTAAATTGTATCAATTTAATATATAAGTTACAATTTTTTTTTTTTTCCAATTTGGTCTCCTAATCAAATTTCATTAATAAACATAGTTAAAGTTAGGGATAAATGTGTAACTTTGGAAATCAAAATAACACATCACATATTTTGGGGACCAAAAATATAATTTTTAAGTGAGTTTTCAATTTTTAAGAGGGTTTCTACAGTCATTCTTAATTTTAATAGCATCTACAGACAAAAGTTGTTTTTTTTTAAAGATAGGAGACAAAATTTAGTTGAGAGACCAAACAGTTTCACCTTTTCTATATTA